TTTTGGAAATTTGTATGTAAAGGAAATGATTAGAACTTCGAAAATATGTAAATCAGATATCGTTCTGTATATATAAAATCTGTATATATAAAATCTGTATATATAAAACATCAAATTGTTTAAGTTAAAATGATCCAACTTGTCATAAAAACAAGCATTTTAATATTTTTTTTATTGTTAGTGCATAAAGGCAGTTATTTATTGTCGTATCTACGTACTATATCTATTTAAGTACAAATATTATTTAAGTATAAAATTCTCTACAAAGAAGAAAAAAATTATAAAATAATAAATATGTGTGCGTGCGCGCGCGCGCGCGCGCGCGCGCGTGTGTGTGTGTGTGTGTGTGTAGAAAAAAAGCTACTCTATATTTTAGAATTTTTCAAATCAAAATTCTTTTAGGATTTTAAATGAAATATTTTAGATTCAATCTTATTAAAATGGGACATTTAGCAGCTTCAATTAGGACTAATAATCATACCTCACGATATATAAAATCTACAGAAAAAGAATGGAAAAGAACAGAAGAATTTGTTAAAGTATTTTAAAAGGTTTAATTAAATACAAATCTGAAAAAATTTTGTTTAGATTCAAATGAATTAAAATAATTATGCAAAACATTCAAACTTGTTTGCTAGAATATTAAAATTTTTTGCTGCATTGTTATCAATGCATTTTAAATAAATTTTTGATGATTCAACACAATTATTTTCAGATCTATATTTGGCTAAATTTTTAGATATTTTAGCAAAATCATTCTTTTTGTATATAAAAAGAAAAAAAATTATCTTTAATACATCTTATTATATAATATATGTATATACATTCATTATGTAATATATGAATATACATTCATTAAAAATTATATCAGTCCCTTGCCGCAGATCCGTCATTACGTTACCACATCGATCGATCCTAATTTTGGACGTTGGACTGTCTTGCACGCCAATTGGTAAAAGTAAGCCCTTTTAGCAAAAAAAAGAATTGAACGAGGAAACAGATGATGTTATATCAATATACACACCGGTGTAGACAATTACGCACGTAACAACCGCGTAATAATGCGGAATCGAACCCGTTTTGAGAGCAAGTTTGCGACGGCTCTGACCGTTACGTCAGATCGGAGAATCGGATGGACCAACCGACCAGCCAGAAAAAATAATCCGGAGGTGCGCGGATCGCGGAGCAGGGCGTGTTCCTTGTCGTTTCAGTGAAAGTAATCGCATACATCCCGAACCGGGCATTTCGTATAAAAACGCTGACCGACCGGACTTATGGTACACTCGATCCAAAACTACCACGAGAAACAATGAAGTGCTTCGCGGTAAGTCAAAGGAATTTCTTATGCATACGCATAAGTCGGTATACTAAGGCATTTATTCATTATCGTACTCTAAATTTCTTGGAGTGAAATTCATTTCAAAAGAAAGTAATCTCACTCTTTTTTTTTGGAGTAAATCTCATTCCAAAAGTGAAATCTCACCCCAAAAAAATGAAAATCTGTCTCTCTTATTCAAGAGTGCAAATTTTTCATTCTTTTTTAATAGTGGAAATATTTTAAACCTTTTGGAGTGAGATTTTATTCCAAGAAATTTAGAGAGTACATGTATCCTCTTTAATAATATTTTCTATTGCTATTTAGTTGATTCAGAATTGCTAAATGCTCGCTTTATCATTATGAATGAAATTGCGTTAAAATTATATAATCTATATATATATATA